TGTGTAGCATGTCAAATATAAGGTGACACAAACGATGCTTGCCACAAAGAAGAATGGGATGTTTCACATTATAATCATAGCAAGAATTATTAAGCCTACCGCCTACTCTAATAAGATTATCCGAATCTATGAATGGAGATAAAGATAAGAGTCTATTTTTATACGGCAATGGTTTGTTTTCCATGAGAAGTTTTCTCTCTACTGGAAAGGAATCTTGTTGAGCTACTTGTAGAAGTTTTAGTTTTGCTATTTTAAATTCAACATTTGACAAATGACTATTAAATTTTATTGAACCTTTACTCCGACAGTTATTGATAAACCGTAAAATAAATGAAAAGATTCTTATTAATTTAGTAAAACTAGATAATTTTTGTATTAGAATAGATATTATATTAGATTCTGATTGCACTTCTTTAATATGAAATGTTTGTAATTCTGGGAGCTTTACATTATTATTCTGGTTTGGTTTTATAGGCCAATGACAAGAATCTAATTTTAAAAAAGAAGGACCCGACCACCATAATGTAGTGTTGCCTAATAAATTTGCTCTCAAGCCCCGAGAAACTAAGTCAGCTGGATTTTGCTTTGATGGTACATAGCGCCATCCATTTGATGTGTCCTGAATCTCGGTAACACGATGACGTACAAAGGATTTTAGTTGACTCGATGAAGAGGAAAGCCAGCCCAACACAATCATAGAATCGGTCCAAAATATACGAGCACTATATTCAAAGGTAACAGACGAAACAACCTTCGCACACAGTCTTGCACCCATTAGAGCCGCACAAAGTTCTAAACGTGGAATAGTTGTCGCTTTGATAGGTGCTACTCTACTCTTGGACGCTAGAAGTCGAACACTGACTGACCCATCACTAGATGAACTCCGTATATAAACACATGCCCCGTATGCCTTCTCCGAGGCGTCTGTGAAGATATGTATCTGTGTATCCGTTGCAGACTCTACTTTAATGCATCTTGGGATTTCTATGTAGTTTAATCCTTGTAATGATTGAAAAAACTCTTTGAACTGCTTACTTATGTTTGGAGGAACTATTTCATCCCACGAGCATTTCAGTATCCACAACTGTTGAATAAGTAATTTTGCTTCAACAATACAAGGCGATATAAGACCAAGTGGATCGAACACTTGTGAAATTACTGATAATATGAATCTTTTCGTTATTTTTTCTTCTGGGCTTATATTAATATAAAAATTAAAAACGTCCTTAGAGCAAATCCAATTAAGACCTAAAGTTTTAGAAGGCTCTTTCGCCCCGAAGTCGACGCTACCTGATACCTTACTATGATCACTGACAGCGCTGCGTATCTGTTCGTTATTGAAGTGCCATTTTCTAAGACGGAATTTTGCGGTTTCAAGTGTTGCAATAACACCTTTGCACAACTCTACGGTCGACTCTACTGAATCCGCCCCAGAGATGAAATCGTCAACATAAAAATCGTGGCAGATGGCTCTACTGACATCTGGGTCAGTAGAGTCGTAGCCTAACTGTGAAAGGCATCTGGTAGCTAGATACGGTGCTGAAGCCGTACCATATGTTACGGTATTAAGAGTATACGTTGCAAGTGGATGCGAGGGATCGAACCTCCATAAAATGCACTGCAACGGACGTTGACTTTTATCTATTTTTATTTGTCGATACATTTTCTCGCAATCTGCTGAAACGACATATTGATGTTGGCGAAAACGTATTAAAATAGAAATTATATCGTCTTGTATCGTCGGACCAACACGCTGGATGTCATTAAGTGACTTACCAGACGACGTGTTAGCCGAGGCATCGAAGACCACACGTAATTTAGTGGTTGAACTATGTTCTCTGTAAATTCCATGATGTGGAAGGAAGCAATACATAGAGCTAGGCTGCTCTGACAATGTTTCAGTCATATGTCCCAACTCTATGTATTCCTTCATGAAGTTTACATACAGCCGCTTCATGTCAGGGTCTCTATCCAAACGGCGCTCTAGAGAAAGAAACCTACGTCTAGCCATAGCTACTGAATCGCCCAGAGCTTCTGGTGATTCTTTAAGAGGCATAAAAACTACGTACCTTCCCTCATGATCGCGATAAGTGGTGTCTATAAAAGATTGCTCACATGCTTGTTCATTTGAATTTAATTTATATTTATGAGGTATTGAGTCTAATGCCCAAAATTGTGATAGATCCACTGATGCATGATTAGAACTATCGTTATTAGTGAACATACATACATGACCCTTTAGCCCTGATTGATAGATGGCGCCTGATACTAACCATCCGAATTTTGTTTCAAATAAGACCGGTTTATGTTTACCTAGCTCTATGCGATTTGTGCCGATCACCTGCCAGAACACGTCCGCCCCTACGAGCACATCAATGGTTGACGGCACGTTAAACCCTGGATCGGCCAAACAAATGCCTGACGGTAAATTCAATTCATGTGTGTTTATATACTTGTTGGGTAATAAAGAAGTAATTTGAGGTAAAACGAAGCAGTCAATGTCCGTCCTATAGCAGCCATTATAAGACTCCAATGTAAGAGAGCAAGACCGTGAACTACATGACGTTAGGTTATTTATGCCTGTTACCTTCGAATTTGTGTGATGTTGAGCAATATTCAGCCTAGTGCAGAGGTCCTGGGTGACAAAATTGCCCGTGCTGCCGTTGTCTAGCAAGACTCTAGCAACATGCTGCTTGCCGTGCTTGTCGATGACCTTGACCAGCGCTGTAGATAGCAATATGTTACATGCATTAGTACTGACCCCAGAATGATCGGCTGACAGAACTATACTTTCATGTGAAATTATTTCCTTAGGCTCATCCACATGCAAAAGGGTATTGTGTTTTTTGTTACAATATTTACAGTGTGTTAATTTACAGCTTGACTCATGATGACCTAATCTTAGGCAATTTTGACAAACCTTGAATTCTTTAGCCTTCTGCAGGCGTGATTCGATTGATAATTTACGAAATAAGTCACATACAAATAATTGATGATTTTTATGACATAAAGGACACGAAGAAACTTTAGATTTAGGTGTAAAATTTGAAACAACAAAACTTTTTGGTTTTTGAATTGTTTGACCCTCAATTTTATTCTTATTGTTTCTGGATTCTTCTAATGTTTCTAGAAGGTCAGCTCTATTAGTTAAAAAAGAAATAAATATTTCTAAGGTAGGTGGCTCACTCCGATTATTACGGTATTCCTCCCACTCTCTATTTGTGATATCGTCTAACTTTGTGGACATCATGTATATGATTAAAGTATCCCAATACTGAGTGGGTTGATCTAGGGTTGCCAAAGCACGCAAATTTTTATTCGTGACATCAACTATGTATCGCAAAGCTTTACTTGACTCTTTTTTTATTAAGTTGACGTTGAAAAGTGACTGTACATGATTGTTCACAAGCAAGCGCTTGTTATCATATCTTTTACACAACAATTCCCAAGCAGAAGCATAATTATTGGCCTTAAAGTCTAAGCTTTTAATAATTAAAGCTGCACTACCCTGCAAGCAAGCGCGAAGATAATGAAATTTATTTATTTTATCAATGCTATCGTTCGAATGAATAATTGAAATAAATGTATCGCGAAATTCAAGCCAATGCTGATAGTTTCCATTGAATGAAGGCAATTCTATTTTAGGCAGTCTTACGAAATTGTTGTGTCTCTGTGTGTTAACATCAATTGAGCTTACCTCAGCCAAATTACTAGCTGCATACGGAGAAGCCGCCGAAGACGCATCGCACAAGGCCTTGGCAACGCCGACAGCATCGTAGTACTGGCTTTCGAACGCTTCCCTTTCCTGATATCTCACTTCTGGATCCTCGGAAAGCTCCTCGATCTGCCCCTGAAGTACATCATAATCAGAGTACAAGTCCTCAATCTTATCAAGCCGTGCTTTAAGCTCGCTTAAATTTGAAGGGTTAAGTTTGTCTACTGTGCACTCTTTTATTACTTTTATATAATTGCAAAAGCTAGTGAGTTTACTTTTATGAGTTCCTCGTTTTTTAATCAATTGTGCAATTTGAGTTGCCTTTGCTTCTGACATTGTAAATCTGAATATACTAAAGTTGTAAAAAAATATTCAATCTAAAAATGTATATTTAACTAAGTATTTCGGCAATAAATATTTAAGCTAAAATTTTATTAATTTAAATATCTATTGTATGATTATTATTATTATTTTTTTTTTAATACAAATTTCACTAAACAAATGCAAATTAAATCTAAAATACTATACTACACTATTTCTAATGCAATAAGTATAAAGATACACCTTTGCTATGTAATTACAGCAATCACTAGTCGAACCGCAATCACCGGTATGTGTTGCAGACTACCGACCTAAAAAATAAAAAAATAGAATTTGAAATATTATTGCCAAATACTGTTAGTAAGCAGCGACTAATTACATAAATGCAAAGCGGTACTACTTTCTATGTTAATTATAAGCATCTACTAATAATTTGTACTATAATTTAAGCCTGTTTTTTATATATATATATTTTTTTATTTTCAATTCTGTATTTTTATTTCACAATTGTTTGTAAATATGTTAATAAATAAATATTCTATTGCAATTAATACTACTTTTAATTACTGCGCAAAGCTTGACAAACACTATGACTATGAAAAAGTACGTTCACAGTACGTTATGATTTGAATTTATAACGACAATCTTTACTACAAAAATATTACTGATCACCACTAACTACGACTGATACAAATGAAGTAATGATACTAATGATAGATAGGATGAATTATGATAATGAAAATGATTGGAAGAAGAAAGAAATTGGAACGATCTCACGGTTTTGATGCGAAGATGCCAACTTATCCGTTCTTCTATTTTGAATTTCTTCATGTGAAGAATAAGATGCCACTCGTCACGATGTTGCGCAAATGTTGCTTTGTGAGATATATGAAAGAGATGAATAAAAGATTGTGGACTGTAATTATAGGTTTATATGCAAAGGTACAAAAGTAGCCCGACAATACTATGTATCCGCGCGGTGTCTCGTGCGGTCATGGAGCGAGTGTGTCGTGACGTTGTCGCGGCCCTCGGTCGGTGCCGAGCTCCGCTCCTCCTCCTCTTCACCCCATGCCCCGGGCTCGCCCGCGTGCGCGCGGGCAGTGTTGTCACATCCATAGACTCGCCGCCTTGAAGTGTCTTCAACACTAGTGATTGGCAGCGGGCAGATGTTGTTGAAGGCCCGGCGGATGATGCCCTTTTTAGTTTTGATGTCGGCGACTCTAGCGATGCCATCTTGTCCGGGTAGAATGCGTAGATGATCCACCTTGCGATCTTGATCGGAAGACTACTCTTAAGCTGGTATTCGTCCCGCTAACAAATCGATGTCCGTTGGACGGTGCGTAACGGTTTTTCTTGCTTGAACAGCTGATATACCGTTGCTCGCCGCTGCATACACCGTCTAGCCTTCGTTGTTGTAACGCGACGTGGTCGTTAAGGACCAAATGATGCTTTGTGAGATATATGAAAGAGATGAATAAAAGATTGTGGACTGTAATTATAGGTTTATATGCAAAGGTACAAAAGTAGCCCGACAATACTATGTATCCGCGCGGTGTCTCGTGCGGTCGTGGAGCGAGTGTGTCGTGACGTTGTCGCGGCCCTCGGTCGGTGCCGAGCACCGCTCCTCCTCCTCTTCACCCCATGCCCCGGGCTCGCCCGCGTGCGCGCGGGCAGTGTTGTCACATCCACATCTAATATAGGTTCATCATCAAGCTGAGGTGCTAAACTATCACTATCAGTGCGAAGTCGGTAACCGAAAAACACTTCGCTTGGTACCGCATTTATCGTTTTGTGAATGGTACTGTTTAACCCCTGCTGTAATATTTTTACATACTGATCCCAATTGTCATCAGTTGTATTTGCCCCAACTGCTTTAAGAGCATCTAATATGGTTCGGTTGAATCTTTCAACTTGTCCGTTAGACCGTGGCATACCTGTAGCTACTGTATGAAGTCTAACGTTTTTATTAGTGCAATATTTTGTAAATTTGTTTGATGTAAATGCTGTACCTGCATCAGAGATAAACCTCTTAGGGTTTCCGAATGTTTTAACGATTATTTCTAACTCTTTAATAGTGGTGGATGTTTTAGTCGAACGAATAGGTAAAATAAAAACAAACTTTGTGAAAGCGTCGACAACGACTAATAAATATTTATTTCTATTTTTGGTTTTTACAAATGGACCCAAGTGGTCTAAATGAAGTGTATGAAAAGGTTGAGCATATTTTGGCATTGGAAATAATTCGCCTTCCTTGGCACCCCCTTTGTTTTTGAAGTATATACAATTTAAACAATTTTTTATGTACTTTTTTATAATACGACGCATGTGGGGAAACCAGTAAAACTTTGATATTCTTTCTACAGTTTTGTCTACAGAAAAATGTCCAATGTCATCATGGTTGTATTTAATTATTTGCCAAATACATTTTTTTGGTACCAACCATCGACGACCCTTTGATGTTCTTCTGAAAACTTTTGACCCAAGCAATTCGTATTTGTCAAAAACATCTCTATTTTGGTCGGCCTCTCCCGATTCTAAAATTGATTTTAATTGTTGAATTTTAGAGTCTTGTGTTTGCACTAACAGCAACCAATCTGCTTCAGTAATGGACATAATGATTTCAACTTCAGACTTTTCCCCCGAAACTACAGGATTTCGACTTAATGCATCAACATGCAGCATACGTGTACCTGCTCTATGGACAATTTCAAATGAAAATTCTTGTGTAGCTAATACCCATCGAGCTATGCGTGGGACAATATCTTTTTTAGTGAGCGCATATCGTACAGCACTGCAGTCAGTTATGATTTTAAAATTTGAACCTAACAGATATAGGCGGAATTTTTGGAGCGAACAAATAATTACCAACAGTTCTAATTCAAATGAATGGTATAATTTTTCATTTTCGGTAGTTTGCCTACTATAATAATGGACTGGTTTTTCTCCCTCATTAGTAATTTGCATAAGTATTCCTGCAATACCCTCTCGACTAGCATCAGTGTATAAAACACTATCTCTATTGGGATCAAAAATAGACAGGAAATTATCTGATGTTAATTTATTTTTTTAACGATTGAAATGTCTCTTCTTGTTTGTCTTCCCAAGACCAGGTAGTATCCTTTTTTAACAGTTTTGTCAAAGGCACCAAAATCATTGCGCAATTTTTAATAAATTTCCGAAAATAGCTTATTAGACCAATGAATTGTCGAAGTTGGTGTACTGTTTTGGGTCTTGGAAACTGCCTAACTGATTCTAATTTCGCTTCATTTGGCATAATTTTCCCAGACTTTACTCGATAACCTAAGAACTCTATTTCACTTTTGAAGAAATGACACTTTTTTAGATTCAGAGTCAAACCATTCATCCTAAAAATTTGCAATATCTGTTCTAATAACTTCAAATTTTCTTCCACCGTATTTGTTACAAGATAAATATCATCTAAATAAACTATTACATTGTTAAACCTTAAATTGCCTAAAAGACTTGAAAAACATTTGTGACCAGAAAGTCTATCAATAAGGTCATCAATACGTGGCATAGGGTACTTATCCTTAATAGTTATTTTGTTTAATAACCGATAGCCTATACAAAGTCTTTTTTCTCCATTTTTTTTTTGTAACAAGAAGTGCGGGGCTCGCATAAGACGATCTACTTTCGCGTATGATGATATTTTCTCAAAGTTCATTTACTATATCACGTATTATTTTTCTATCGTTATTAGAAGTCCTAAAAGGTCTGCACTGAATCGGTTGTATATTGTTAACGTTAATTTCCATTTCGTGATGATTAACTTTCCCTAACTCTTTAGTATTGAGTGCTACACAATCTCTATATATACTGAAAATACATTTTAACTCGTTATGATGAGAGTCAGTGTCTAAATCTAGTTCATTAATACTTTTACAGGATTCGCTGTACCTTATTGCATAATGAAACCTAAAGGTATTTCCTACACGTATGTACATCAAATCTGATCGCTCAGTTACATTCCTACCTATCAAAATATCATAATCCATCAAATCATCAAGCACATAAATGTCAATTTGCGTTAAAGCTATAGAGTCCATTTCTAAATCAACGGTTATCTTATGACTCACAAATTTTGAGGATTGTTTAGAAAATCCTTGCAATAAAATCGGAGAGGATAAAGGACTAATTTCAAAGCAATTTTTCTTTGCGAATGACTCTGACACTAACGAACAACTACTTCCAGTATCTATAAAAGCTTCACACTTCACGTGGTTTAGTATTATATTTTTAACGAATTTGTTACGAGGGTTGGGGGTAGAAATAAATTTAGTTTCGTGCGTTTCGGTTTTCGTCAGTTTTTTGTGAAAGCATGCAGCTTCTAAATGTCCCCTTTTCCCACAGAAGTCGCATTTATTTTTATCACATTGATTTCGTTTATGATTCCCACCACAAATGAAGCATTTTAACGATTTACGTTGTATGTTCTGCATGGTCGCTAGTGAACCAGATGGAACAGTTTGATCTATTATGGTTATACTACCTCCATTTGTGGAGGAAGTAGTTGGTTGTGCGACGGTTTGTCGTGGTTGGTTTTCACAAGGAACATTTGAAGATTTAGGAAATTTGGATTTGTATATTCGACCATGCATAAAACTTGCTAGATTATCGCATGTTGTAAACTGATTAGCGTCTATTAACGGGTCGAATTCTGGTATGATATTGCACAATATTAAGCTGTTGTTAGTACTTACAGTCGCGGTGTCAGTTTTGTGTGCTACCTTTTTCCTTTGTCTCGGTGAGGGCGACGGTGTTCGAGCGCTACTCGAGCTACTCGACGTCGAACTCGAGCGTCTTTCGCGACGTTTAGAGCGCTTCCTGCGAGAGCCCATTGGCGCCTAATATCCCACTTCTGATGTTAACTAAAACCTCACTTTCAATCATCAAACTATTTATTCACTAATTTGCATACATCACACATAGCTATCAATAATCGCAACACTTTATTTTATAATTTACACTAGTTGTCACAGCGCGAGCGGAACTAAGACTGCCATGCTTAGGTCGGTTGCTTGCTAATATAGTCGCCATCTTGCACGTGAACGTCATTGTGCGCCGCAAGATGGCGTCACCGGCGTCAACTTCCGGTCAATTAATGTTGATTTCATTAAGTTGCCAACACTCATTGGATTTTATTGTCTCGTACTTGACTGACAGAATACAGAGGGTTGATACCAATGGCAAAAGATCCCCTGGGTCGAAAGTTAAGATGGGTGTTCCGCAGAGCTCAATACTTGGTCCTTTCTTGTTTTTGATTTATATAAATGACTTGCCTTATTTCGTAAGGAATGATCACGAAATAGTTTTCTTTGCGGATGACACTTCACTTTTGTTTCAAATTAAAAGAGGGTTACCTCTAAATGACGATGTGAACAATTCTATCGCTAAAGTAGTACATTGGTTTAATGTAAATAATCTTCTTCTTAATGAAGGAAAAACAAAATGCCTAATATTTGTACTACCTAATGTTAAAAAAGTAGATATAAATTGTGGATACCACGGTATTTTAAGGAATAAAATTAGATTTTAAACTACAGTGGGGCCCATATATTGATAAATTGTCGAGTAGACTTAGCTCTGCAGCATATGCCGTAATGAAAATACGTAGGTTAACTGACATAGATACTGCCAGATTAGTATACTTCAGTTACTTTCATAGTGTAATGTCGTACGGAATCCTATTGTGGGGAAGTGCTGCCGACATACAAACAATTTTTGTTCTTCAGAAAAGATCAATTAGATCAATTTATAATCTTAGGATTAGGGACTCTTTAAGGGAGAAATTTAAGGAAATAGACATTATGACTGTTGCTTCTCAATACATATACGAGAACTTAAAGTACGTTCGTAAAAATATTTGTTTGTCTTCTATAAAAAGTGATATACACAATTTTAATACAAGAAATAAAAATAAATTAACGGTGCCTGTCACTAGACTGCAAAAAGTTAATAACTCATTGAAGGGTCGTTGTGTGCGCTTCTACAATAAGGTCCCAAGTAAAATACAACAATTAGATATCATGCAGTTTAAATCTACTATAGAAAAAATACTTATTAAAAAAGGTTATTATAAAGTATCCGATTATATAACAGATAAGAACGCTTGGACTTGAGGTGATCCAGCAACTGGATAGGTGATTACTTCGTAACCCATTATCTTGTTTTCATTATTATTAAATGATTATGTTATCATTATAAGACCATAGTTTTTTTTCTATCTCTGTTTATAATGTATTGATCTGGTAATGACATGGTTTTTGTAAATGTCATTACTCTTATTAGAGCTGGTTTCTTGCTCGTTCTTCTTATCAGCCAAAACATCCTGAACGAGTGGTAGGGAAAAAAATGTTGGACGATTCAAAAGTATTTTTAAGAAGTCTATTTGAATAAAGATTATTTTGACTTTGACTTTGATTATTACTTGTATTTCAGCGAAAGTTACACAATAACTTCGCTAAAATATCTCTCATTTTGTAAAACAGAATACAAAAATAAAGAGATTTCTACGACAGTAACATGTCTTTATAAAAATGTTCCATGCCTTTATATTAGAAATTATCAATAAAAACGTAACAATACGACATAACTTGTAAAGGTTTAGATTTAAATCCATTTTTTTTTTCATGAAAATCGGTACATATCTGTTTGTTCTGCAATACTGGATTATTTTTACAAGAATAACGCAACAAGGAGGACCCTTTTTTAAATAAATAATCATAATAAATTTAATAACTAACTTAAAGGTCTGAATGCAATTTGATCCAAAAACCGAAAACCTTGAAGTTATGTTGTATTGAGCTGAACAGGCTTAACAAAATAATTAAAAAGTTACAGGAATTTTAAACTTTCAAGAGCGTTTTATCACAAATTGAGATTTTTACTTTATCACGTTCTTGTCGCAAATGAGCGATATGATGAAACGTAAAACCCAGGCCAATGCCTTTATAATTATGTCGATGTTGCTTCTTTTACATAATAATTCATTTAT